CCCCCACTGCCATAAAACGTTAAGAAAATAAATATTGCTTCTTCTCCTACGTGTACGGCAAACCATGTCAGCAAAAAGCAAAACCATTTTATAGATCAAAGCAGGGGAGTATGCAAAAAGTTCTGACTTGACTTAGTCTGGAAAATGAGGAATGTATATGTTTTGTGGGAACAGATATTTCTTTTGTATGTAAATGAGCATTCTTTTAAAAGACAGGACTTCAGTATGTTATCAAAGAGAGGGCTTTAATTTTTTTAACCAAAGGTGAAGGAATATATGGCAGAGTTGTAAATATATAAATATATATATATAATATAAATATATATAAACCTAAAAAGATATATTAAAAATATAAAACCGCGTTAAAGGCTCGATTTTGTATCTGCAGGCAGACACGGATCTGAGAATCTTTATTGAGAAAGAGCACTTAAGAGAATATTTTAAGTATTGCATCTGTATAAGTAAGAAAATATTTTGTCTAAAATGCCTCAGTGTATTTGTATTTTTTTGCAAGTGAAGGTTTACAATTTACAAAGTGTGTATTAAAAAAATGAAAAGAACAAAAAAAGCTGAAGAAGGAAAAAACTGTGTAATTTTGTTCTAGTTTTTCAGTTTGTATATGCCTGTACAATGTGTCCTCACGGTGCCTTTTTTCACGGAAGTTTTTAACGATGGGCGACAGTGTGCCATCCCTTTTGGAAGTGTAGGCAGACACAAGGACCTGAAGTTGTCACTAACTAAACTCTCTTTGGGAGTGTTTGTCTCATCCCATTCTGCGTCATGCTTGTGTTATAACTACTCCGGAGACAGGGTTTGGCTGTGTCTAAACTACATTACCGTGTTGTAAAATATAGCTGTACAAATACCAGAATAAAACGTTGAAAAATTGGCTTGTCCTGAAGGTCTTTCCTATGGGAATGGGAAGGGGAATGGAAATGCAGGGGAGCTGGCTCCCCTCACCTCTTACTGTAGTGGGAGAGACGCTGAAAGGAAGCAGGTGCTGTTTTGGGGAGCTTAGCCTGGACCCGCATTGGCTCCCAGCACTGGGGTGGGCGGCAGCTTTCAGATGCTAAGCCTTCAGGTCCTTCGGGACATTCTGGTGGCTCCTGGGTGATTGGCAGACACCTGTAGCCTCAGAAGCTTTATAACTGGCTGCAAGCCAACCAAACTTTGGCCCCTGCAGAGGTGCTTTGTCCAAAGGGTAGAACTCAGTCGCCTCCCTCTGTGTGACTTGGGACAACCATTTTCTTTCTGATTTCCCTTCCCAGCCTGTTTATGAGGAGACTGGGTGAACTAGGCCGTCAGTAATCCCATGACACAGACATAAGTTCACCGCAGCTTGGGTTGGCACTCCCTTGTATCTTACCTCAAAAAACCCCGAGGATCAAGTTTGATTGACAGGGCCCGAGGACAGGAGGGACAATGTGGTTCTGGTAACTGACCCAGAGCAGAAAGTCCACACCCCTTCCTGGCCCTTAGACTAGGGAGGGGGATGAGGCAGAGCCTTTTCCAGGTCCATGGGCCTGGTGGCTGGACAGTGCTGTCCCTTGGCAGTGGCTGTGCAGCAGGCTCCAAGCACGTGCTGGGACGCCTAGGACAGTGACCACCCCAAACCCCAGAGAGAGCTTCAGAAAGTCACACCACCCTCTGCCAACCGCCTGGCCTTTCAGCTCAGGTTTCCTTTGAAAGTGACTTTAAAGGATTTGCCAGCTTGAGGCCTCATCTCACCCTGCTCTTTGAAAATGGAGAAAATGATCCCTCTGCTCCCATAGAAACTTGGCAGAAGAACTTACAAAACAGACAGCTTCAGGAATGACAATCCCTGGGCTGAGGGAGACTGGCCCCAGGGTCCCTTTGCTCCCAGAGCGCCTCTGAGCCTGTTTACGTATCATTACTGTTTAATAGACAGACCGAGGGCCCAGGAGACACGGTGGGTGGCGTTCCAAGAAAAGGGAAGATCAAAGGGTGAGTGGCAACAGCCAATTAATGATCAATAATAAGTGAAAAGAACACATCTCAAGACAGATAAGCCTGGGCAGAGGAACATACAATGTTATTATAAAAGCTGACTGGGACACAAGTTTGCTCAAACTGTGTGTCATCAAAGAGGGTACCCATGGTGTCCTTGTCTACACTATGGGGACTTCAGAGGAAAAGTTTTTGGGGACCTCAGGAAGAAGTGTGCACGGGAGGTTCGCTCTGACAGACATGTGAGTGGAAGCAAACAGAGCTGTTTAGGAGTTAGAAAGGATGGAGTAAAAAGGATCCTTAGTGCAGAAGTCTCTTCTCACTTGGGAAGGGACTGAGACACCACAGGTAAGAGAGCTCCTCTTGCCATCCAGCGCTTGGGAAGACTGGACAGCCGAGTCCTACTCCTTATCCCATCTGTAAGAAAAAAAACCACACAAACATTCTATTTTAGAAATGAGGAAATGGAGGCAGGGACTTACCTAACGTCACACAGCTAAAAGTGTCCAGTGAGGCTGACTTCACACAGCTGTTGGTAGAGCCTTAACCAGCTTAGTTCAGTTATTAGGTCTTAGGTGTCTTGGAAGAAACAGGTTGTTTTCTCTGGAACCCGAGTTTCCAATTTCCCCTTCGTATCACTCAGAGTAATGATTAATAATAAGTGGTCTCATGTTCTACCAGAGTCATTCTCTGGAAAACACTAAGAGAATTGGAATGGGGAAGAGAAGTAGAGGGAAGCTGACCCCTGGAGAGTGGCTGGGTCACATCAGAATGAGGTTCCCCAGAACTGGGATGATCTTCCAGTACCAGGTTCCATGAAGATCGTCATTTGGGGATTTCTCTTCTTACATTTCTCAGAGATTCCACCTCTCTTACAATCACTTTCTAGTAAGGTCCCTGACCCCAATCCTCACCCTTACCCTGATGACTTGGACTGGTCTGTGTGAGTCTATTTCCTGGAATCAGAAAAGCATAATTTATAGGCATTCTGGTCTAGGTAGGATGTTTGCCACTGGTAGTCACTTAAATATGCTTTGACCAAATTCAAGCTTCTTAATAGTGGAGGCTGAAATATGCAGGAATCCATCTAAAGTAACACAGAAAGTGGTTTACCCAAAATACTGTGGCAACTTGAAAAGATAATGTTCCTCTAATTCCCAAAGCAGAGAGAGAAGGGTTCTAAAAGGGGCACAGGAGCCTAACCTACCTGGCCATGGTGCTTAGCATATGCAATCTGACATCCAGGGGCAGGTGCGGTACCCTCCTGAAGAGGAGAAAGCTTCAGCAATCCCTAGGACAGAGGGTTTCTAGAAAGGCAGATGCCAAAGCAAGAGGGCCTTGGAGTCTAGAAAGCAGACTCAATGGGGTTTGGAGTCCCTTGTATACTATACTGTCCCCAAGCTTTTGGGGCCACCCCCTCTTACTGACGCAACTGATTGGCTACTTGTAAGGGGAGTGAGGTTTCTCTTTCCCCTTTGCATTCTAAGCAAGCAGGTCAAATACATACTACAGAGTCAGAATCACAAAATACTGCAACTGAAGGAATTTAGGGTTCATAATCCTCTTATATATTCAAGGAAACCAGTCCCAGAAGGGGAAGTTGACATGTCCAAGGTGCCACCAAGAATTCTTATCAAAAAGAGTATCTCACTCCTTGCTAGTTTTGTAACATGGCCCCAGCCCTCAAAGGGTTGAATCTCACTGAGTTGGTGGCGTGCAGAGAAGCATTGTGGATGGGTAGAGTCTCTCATCCTTTCTGTGAAGCTGCAGTGCCTTCTCCTGTCTGCACAGAGCTGTCTTCCCTGATGTCCCCCACAGAGGTCACCTCTGGAGGTGTATTGCTTTCCTAGGGCTGCTGTCACAATGTACCCCAAAGTGAGAGGTTCCAACAACAGGAACTTACTGTCTTGTGTGAGTCGCTGCAATTCTGAGACAAGATGTCAGTAGGGCTGGTTGCCCCTGAGGGCTGTGAGGAAGTATCTGTCCCAAGCTTCATCCCTAGGTTCAGGTGATTCCTTGGCTTGTAAAAGCATCACTTATCTCACTTCACATGACATTTTCTGTGTCTGAAACACAAACCCCGCCCCCTTTTATAGGGACCCTATAACATTTTTGTACAGCCAGGGAAACTATCAACATAGTGAACAACAACCTATAGGATGGGAAAAAACATTTGAAAACTATGCGTATGGCAAAGGTTACTATCTAGACTACATAAGCAACTCAATAGCAGGGACCTGGGGGAAAGGAGTGAGAAAGAAAGGTCTGATTAAAAAAAAAAAATGAGCAAAAACCTGAATAGTCATTTCTCCCTGGAAGATATTCAAATAGCCAACAGATACAAGAAAAAACACACAGCATCACTAATCATCAGGGAAATGCAAATCCAAACCACAATGACCTCTCACCCTAGATAGAATGGCAGTGATCAGACAGGTCAAAAATAACAAACATTAGCATGGATGAAGAGACAGGGGAACCCTTATGCACTGCTGCTGGGAATGTAAATTAGGATAGCCATTATGGAAAACAGTATAGAATTTCCTTAACATATCATAAATAAAACTACCATACAATCTAACAGTCTCACTGCTGGGCCAGTGTATTCATTTATTTATTTATTTGGTTTTTTTTCCGGTACCGGGAATTAACTCACGATGTTCTGCTTGCCAGGCAGGCACTGTCCCGCTGAGCTAAATCCCCACCCCCTGGGCCAATGTATTCAAAAGAAATGAAATCAGTATGCAGAAGAGTCATGTGCACTCCAAGATTTGCTTCAGCACTGCTCACAATAACCAAGAGATGGAAACAAGCCAAGTGGCCATCAACTGATGCATGGGTAAAGAAAATGTGGTATGTATGCACAGTGGAATGCTACTTAGGCCTTAAAAAGAATGCAATCCTGTCATTTGCAGCAATGCAGATG